AAGTAGAATTGGGCTGAAAGATCTATTTATCACCTACTCAGGTTGTAAATCGTGTTTTTAAAAAGTAACTAAGTAACTACCGTATTTTCACGACCATAAGGCGCACTGTGCTAAAAGGCGCAGTCTCAGTTATGTGTGCCATTACTGTATTTAACACACACATAAGGCGCACTGGATCATAGGGCGCATACAAGTACCGTATGCGTATTTAAAAATAAAGCGGGAGCAAACCTGAATTCGGTACCTTACTCACATTTTTATTACCAGTAATCGTCATCATCAACAACACACAAGCATACAAGTGTGCGTATTTAAAAATAAAGCAGGAGCAAAACTGAGTTTGGTACTCACGTTTTTATCATCAATCAAACCCATGGAAGTCCTCATCCTCTGTGTCTGAATTGAACAGCTGCGCTAAATCTCCATCAAACATGCCAGGTTCACTTTCTTCACCGTCAGAGTCACTTTCCGTGCCGTGCGGCTCCTCGGAAATGATGCCGGCTTTTGCGAAAGCTCGAACAACAGTGCCAGCAGACATGTTAGCCCAAGCATCTACAATCCATTGGCAAATTGTGGCGTAACTCGCCCGGCGCTGCCTTCCACTCTTAGTGAAACTGTGGTCTCCACCGGTCATCCATCGCTCCCAGGCCGCTCGCAGCCTTACTTTGAACGGGCGGTTCACACCGATGTCCAGCGGTTGGAGTTCCTTTGTCAGGCCTCCTGAATGACAGCAAGCTCACAGTTCATTTGTTTCACTAGTTTTTTTCACATCGGCTGTGAGATGCATAGAGTCACAGATCAACAGCGATGGTGATGCGTGGAAAAAACCACCTGGTCTCCTTACATACACCTCCCTCAGCCAGTCTTTCATCATTTCCTCATCCATCCAGCCCTTTTCATTTGCCTTAATGATGATTCCTGCTGGAAACTTCTCTTTAGGCAAAGTCTTTCGCTTAAAAATCACCATAGGCGGCAGTTTCTGTCCATTAGCACAACAGTAAAAGAAGACTTTTCATACCCCGTTGTGCGTATCGCTACCGTGCTGGTCCCCTTCTTCTCCACAGTGTGACTCACCGGGATGTCAAAAGTGAGCGGGACCTCGTCCATGTTTGTGATGTGGCTGGGCTGGATGTTTTTGTCGCCGATGTGTTTGCTGCAGTAGGAGCTGAAGATGGCCAGCTTTTCCTTATAATCCGCTGGAAGTTGCTGCGCTACCGTAGTCCTGGTCCTGATGGAAAAATGGCACCGTTTCATAAAACGAAAGCACCAAGACGGACCTCCTTGGAAATGTTCAATGTTCATCTCTTCAGCTAGTGAAACTGCTTTTAGCCGAATGGTGACCGTCGAAACGCTTCTCCCGCTCGCTCTTTGCTCGATGATCCACCGCTCGAGTCTTTCCTCCAACTCGGGCCACCTCGCCTTATGTCCGCAGAAACTCAGCTGCGTTTTCTTGACCTGCCGGAGCTTGTTTTCTAGCTTCCTCCATTTGCGAACCATCGATTCGTTAATCTTAAATTCTCTCACTGCTGCTCGATTTCCATGTTCCTCCGCGTAGCTGATGGCCTTCAGTTTAAACTGTGCTTTGTAAGCGTGTCTCTTTGCCATTTTCAGGGTTGTTAAAACAACGATGTCTTGCATAATGCACATACCTGTTCTTTTATACAGGTATGTGCGATTGTCCCGGTATATACGATCAACGCCCACACTTCACCCTTTAACGTTCTCATGGTGTTCTCTACTACGTCCTCCTTACAACACACAGGGCGCACTGCACTATAGGACGCGCCGCACTTTTTGAAGAAAATCTAAGACTTTTAAGTGCGCCTTATAGTTGTGAAAATACGGTAAGTAATTAATTACTTTTGAAAATAAGTAATCAGTAAAGTAACGGGATTACTTTTTTGGGGAAGTAATCAGTAATTAGTTACTGATTACTTTTTTCAAGTAACTTGACCAACACTGGTAGCGAGCCTGACGCTCAGTGTCCTTTTATTCTTTTAACATATTTTTCTGTGTTGTATTTCAGTGAAAGGAGGACGAGCCAGTGGCCCTGGGACCTCAGGTGGTGGGTCGTTTTCACACTTTCTTTTGTACAGCACCGGGTGGGCTGTAGTGATTTTCTTTTTGTGTGATTTTCTTTTGGGTCCACGGCTGCTGGTGAGGCCAAGTTCCATGATTGTTTTACTTTGTCTTGTGTGTAGTCTTCAGTCATTAATGATTCAATGATATGTGCACATGAATGAACTTCATCAGCAGGTTCTGAATGGGTTAAACACAGAGCGATGAGAGTTAACAGACTCGGTAAACCAGCTCCGAAGGACTTGGCTCCATCTAGTGGACATTCTTAGAATAACTATCAGTTTCTAAAAATGGTCTTTGTATTCCAGGTTGTATTTAGCTGTCAGTTTACAGGCTGATCTGTTCTTTCATGTTGATGTATTTTGTATTTAGCTCCATCTAAAGCACAGAGAGCTCTGGTTTATATTTCTGTAATTCTAATGTCTCAGTTTTAAATGGTCTTTGTCTTCCATCCATCCATCTTCATCCGCTTTATCCGAGGCCGGGTCGCGGGGGCAGCAGCCTGAGCAAAGAGGCCCAGACCTCCCTCTCCCCAGCCACCTCCTCCAGCTTGTCCGGGGGAACACCAAGGCGTTCCCAGGCCAGCCGAGAGATATAATCTCTCCAGCGTGTCCTGGGTCTGCCCCGGGGCCTCCTCCCGGTGGGACATGCCTGGAACACCTCACCCAGGAGGCGCCCAGGGGCCATCCTTGTCAGATGCCCGAACCACCTCAGCTGGCTCCTTTCGATGTGGAGCAGCAGCGTTTCTACTCTGAGCCCCTCCCGGATGGCCGAACTTCTCACCCTATCTCTAAGGGAGAGGCCAGCCACCCTTTGGAGGAAGCTCATTTCCTCCGCTTGTATCCGCGATCTCGTTCTTTGTCTTCTACGTAAAATATTTAATGATTCATTTATGTGATGAAGAAAGATGGACACATTAAAGACGAAATAACAAACAGGAAATCTGTAGTGGAGAAGAGGAAATGTTGCCACCTGGTGGCTGTGAAAATGATTGCCTGATTATTTGTTCCAGTATGATATCATTCTGAGTATTATTCCTCCTACAGATGCTGTCTCTTTTCTCTCTCTTCTTTTTTGAGCTCTTTGATTTGTATTGAAGGAATCTGAAGGATTTTTCAGCCTGAATTTCTTTTTGTTTGGTTTGAGTTGAGTCTTGATTTTTTTTAATAAATGCATTAACAATGAACTCCATGTTGCATTAAACTGAAGGATCATCTTCAGTTTCCAGTAAGTCAGATCAGGTAAAATCTGAAAACTTGCTATCAAGTTCTGTGTACCAGGTTTTGAGGTAGGTGGTTTTGTTGTGGTGCTCGCTATGGCTCAGGGTCTGAATGTTTGGGTCTGCCTTTTTCCAAACACAGACTCAAAATATTTATGATAATTGTCAAATCCTTAATGAATACATTTTCTGTTAAGCCCTTAGTGACAATCTTACAAATTTACAGTAGAATTGTGCAGCTTAGTCCTAAAGTACAGTCTACCAAATGTGCTGTTGACAGCATCAAAATCCAAAAACTAATTTAACTGTCTTCCACATTATGCATATCAGCAGAGAAATCAACATGGCAGACTCCAGGAGGTGTTTTTGTTGAGCACATTGTCAGCAACCTTTTGTCTTATTTCATTTGTGTGTCTGATCTTCCTCACATTGATGGAGGACTGAGGATGTTTGGTCTGTTTGTGTCAAGCAGACGTCGATGACCACTGAAATCCTAAAGACTCAGGTGTCCTTAAAAACAAGTAAAATGTGAACATACATAGAAACAATGTGTGTGTGTTTGGTCTCCAACAGTGTTTATGTGGGTGGTACATGCCAAAGATGGAGATGGATGAAGGAGCCAAGGTTTCCCAGCACAACATTGGACTGGATCCAAATGATCAGTGTCATTCACCTCACATGTCAGTGGTTTAAAGTTGTGGCTGATCAGTGGATCTATATGGTCTTACCAGAAACACTTAGCAGTAATTTACAGTCAAGCAAACAGAAACATTGACCACTGTGTTTGAAGAAGGCCCTCTGTTCTGTATTAACAGAGTACAAGGTCTTCCTTTTTTTTTTCTTTTTTTTTCTTTTTTAAATTTAATTTAATTTTTTTTCTTTTTTTTCTTTTCTTTTTTTATTTTTTGGCCTGTCCCGTTTGGCTCTTTTGCATCAGAATTGTTGTCTAAAGGCAAAGAAAGATGCCCAACGGATTTACTTTACCAAACAGACCATCCCAGCCTTGCCGTAATGGTCCATTTGATTCACCTTTTATTGTTTATTTTATTTTCACTTAATGAATACGGGACAGACTTGACTGGAGGAAAGAGAAACAGCTGAGAAGAGGGACGGGGGAGAAGGGCAAAAGACAAAAACCAACAGAATGGGCAGAAAAAAAAATGCATATATCAATCACCTGGATCACCTGCTGAGAAAGAAAAAAGAAAACAAGCAGAAGAGAACAAGAGTAATAGAATAACCAGGATCACAATGATATATGGGAATATGACAGTAAATACTAAATGTTAAACATTATTGTGCAGCACATAAGATCAACAGAACACAGTGTGCTTTGAGGTAGGAGCCAAAAAGGGTGTAGTTTGTGGGTGTGATCACCCGTGTGTACACCTGTGAGCATGGACACGCTTGTTTTTTAAAAGGTTCCTTCATGTAATGATCTGCTAGAGGGTGTGGGGGGGCCACAGCCCCGTCAGTGGTTTAAAGTTGTGGCTGATCAGTGGATCTATATGGTCTTACCAGAAACACTTAGCAGTAATTTACTGTCAAGCAAACAGAAACATTGACCACTGTGTTTGAAGAAGGCCCTCTGTTCTGTATTAACAGAGTACAAGGTCTTCCAAAATGATTCAGTCCAAGATTTGAGGCAAACACCATGTGTATAAAGAACGTCAGCCTCAAACAGCAGACTGCAGACGATGCAGCAACTGTAAGTTGGTGTTTTTCCCTCTAAGCTGAGATCATTGGATTTCAGAGATTAACTAACACTAATAGCTAATAGATGCATGGATACAAATTTAACCCAAATTATTTACTCAAAGCAACAGAATTCATCATCTTGCATAGATTTAACAGTAAAGGATACTGTAGTTATTTTACTGTTGTATAAAGCTAATACTCAACATTAAACATGTCCATTCCTAGAGTGATGCATTTGATTTACTTAAGTTCATAAATATGTAACATGGTGTAATTAAAAAAACTAATGATAACACAGATGTTTCCAGATTTTAGAGATCATTGAACAGTGTCAGAAGGAGATTGTTTGATTCTAGTAGTCACTGTTTCTTTGACCCTCTGGGTTGGTTCAAAATCACCACCCTTTCAGCTTGTTTGTGGCCACCAACAGATTAGGTCTGTAATTTTTATTATCTTTATGTTTTTTTGCCATTTTTTCTGCATAAAGCTTTTAAGTAACTTCAGTTCTTTTCATAAATATAAAATAATTATTACTTTTTAAATTTTTAACCCTTTAAACACCAGTTTGTTTGTCCACTGCACCAGCTGGAAGACAACCTCAAATCTCGCAATTTTATATAATTACATTGCTACTGAAATTTCTTGTATTGTTAATAGTAGAGTCTGGGGCATGTAATTGATTCACATCAACATTGATTATAATGCATTGTTATTTTTGTGCAGGGAGAGCAAAAACATAAAAACTCCCTCTCAGTCTGTTCGTGGCCAAAAATGGCCACCCCCTGTTTACTTTTACAAAATACTATAAAATTCATATATATTAAGAAAAATTTCCACTTTTTTTTTGACTTGATTTTTTTAGATTAGCACCAGTGCTGTTCATGAAAATCAAAATTTCATTCAAATTCAGAATTTTAACCCTTTAAATACCAGTTAAATCACATAATTTTAATGATTTACATGGGGATAAAAGCATAAAATCCCCATTTCTTTCTAAATAATACATGCAAACTGATTTATTTTCTAACCATGATGGAGGTTAGATGAATAGCAATAAAGTATCAATGAGTTTTATGTATCTTTGTTTTTTTGTGCAGTGACAGAAAAACAAAAAAAAATCCCTCTCAGCTTGTTCGTGGCCAAAAATGGCCACCCCCTGTTTACATTTACAAAATACTATAAAATTAATATATATTAAAACATTTTTCTACTTTCATTGACTTGATCTTTTAAATTAGCACCAGTCCTAGTCATGAAAACCAAAATATAATTCAAATTCAGATATTATACCCTTTGAATACCAGTCAGATTATGTGTTATTGCTACGCTTTTGGGGGGAAATAGTAATAAAGTTCACATTTTTTAGCATATGAATGGTGAAACCTAATATTTTTTACTGTCATTGCAGGTCAGTAACAGTAACTGTAACAATGATTTATTTTTACTTCATTTATTTATTTATTAATTTTTTCTTTGGGGGGGAATGAATGGCCAAAGAGAATATCACACATGGTGTGTTAGTGGCCAGAAAGGCAATTTAATGACCAAATAACCCCTGAAATGACCAAGAAAATTTATATTCCAGTATGTGTGTGCTTCTGCGTGCATCCTCATTAGCAGCACGATGTACTAACCACAGTAGAGTGGTTGTTGTAGGCACACTTTCTGCACCTGGTGCAAGGGGCTGCTGTTCCAGTCCTGCAGGTGCGCCTTTTGCACCTTCTTCTCATTTCGTTGGTGGGGTGTGGGTCACACTCTGGGTCAGACTACTGTATCTTGAGATCAATGGCAGAAGTGGCTGAGGGACATGGGTGTCTTGCAGTTGTTGAGGTCACCAGCATGTGTCCCAGCTCTCCCAGGATCACTCTTCATCTGTAGGTTGTAGAGCACTCCCCCACTTCAGTGAAATTGTTTCCGGTGGGACAAAGGCATCGTATCCCAAGACATCCAGGAGATTGGAGAGAAGAGCCAGCAGCCATCAGTTAGTTTTCCTTCTGCAACTCGAGGTGCCAACATCCTCTCTAAGTTATCCAAGCAGTATTTGTGCCTATTGTAGTCCAGGATTGCTTCTTGCTCTCACGCATCCTTTATTCCCCATCATCGACTGCTGGTTCCTTGTGTGTTGCTGTCAAAAGAAGCACATTCCTCTGTTGCTTTGGCATGTGGGATATTGCTGTGGAAGTTTTATTGAAGCCAAAGACAGACAACAAAATCTTCCTCTGTTGCAACTGGAGGAGCTGGGGAGGAAGCTCTGGGTTGTTTCCCCTGTGCCAGTTTTCATCTCAGGAGTTCCTCTACCAAGGTGCCCGAAGGAAAGACGTTGTCCTCGGAGCTCCTCCGTCAGTTGGAGTCTGAACCCTGTTCCCTTTTTTACTTCCTGAGAACTTCCAGTGTTGTCATCCAACATGCTATGTATTGCTTTATTCTGGTTTAGGCTCACATCTCCACTTCATCTATGATCCTCCAGTCCTCACACCTTGGCCTCCCGTGCAGCTTTGTAAGGGTGCACAGCAGCTAAAAGATCTCCTTTGTTATAAAAACGTCAAAAGTAGATCTCAGGCTGCTAATGCAGGGAACTGCATACAGGCTGAGCCCTGGTTTGATACCAGTGGGTACTGGATGTAGAGCAGTCTCTCTTCAGTGGTGGGACCCACATGGTTTTCCTTTCATGAGGGATCCACTCGGTCACTCTCCTCGGTCTCAGAAAATGCTCCTATGTTCTTTTCCATCAGCTGCTCAGCCTCCACCTCCATGCCCCCCAACCCCAATCCTCCCCCAAAGAAGAGGATTCAGGCACTGGCTAGTACTCATCATCTTTGGAGAGGAAGTTTCTTCATCTTGGGCAGATGTCTTTTCTTCAAGGGCAGAGGACTGCTGCTGTCCTTGCTCTCTGACCAGATCACACAGACAGTGCTTGAAGCAGTGATGACCTTCTTGCCATACAGCCAGAATAAATGATCTGGAAGCTGTTAGGCTGACTTACAGCAGTAGCTCTGTCTGCACCTGCAGAAACTCCAGGACACGTTTACAGTGTTTGTTGTTGTTTGCGCTCCAGCTGCAGCTGCAGGTTTGAACTCTGCAAAATGTCCTGTGATTGGGTTGTTTTTGTTTTTGTTTCTAGAGTTGGTATTTTGGGTGTGGTCTCTTTTTATGAAAAATACAAGAGTAAAAGTGTTTTTAACATGTGCTTCAAAGCTGAGTTTGACTGGGAAGCTCAAAGCTCAACAGCCTGCATCCACAGAAATTCACTGCAGCCTATGTAATGTTTGAATTTATTCCAGTCTATCTTGCAAATACATGTTTGTGCTGCAATGTCATGCACAAACACAAACTATTAGATCCTTAAGATCAAACCTATGTCAAAATTGTGTCATTATTTTGGTCCATTGGAGTGTGGTAGGCCATCAAAGGCTGCTACTAGAAACTCTGAATATTACATGAAATCGCTTGTTTGGCCAAAAATGGGTAAATGATGTCATTTGGTAAAAAACATTAAAAACTACAATTTTCATGTGTTGAGTTTAGAATGAAAGCAATTTTACCTAAATTGCATGATATAGTACTGTCAGTAACAAGGAATCAAAAAAGGTGGTTATAATGGGTTTCAATTGGCCACAAATGGCCACGATAGAGTCAAGAGGAACAATTTGGTGTATAGTGAATATTATTGACATTATTAAGGAGCTGATGTTGAAAATTAAAAAATCTGAAAAAAATACACACCTTTGGGAAGTTTCATTCCACTTGCATTAACAGAACGAAAATGGTTGAAAAAAGAAAAGTGAAGTGGCCACAGATGGCCAGGATAGAGCCCAGAGGGTCCATGATCGCAACCCAAACTACCATCAGCGTCTCACTGTAACAAAGCCCAACAATATGAGCAGACATACGTCAGTTTGGTGTTGTGTTTCCTGCTCTTACTGATGTATGATTGTAAAGAGTTGTTCTCCTCTCTCTCGTCCTCTACAGAGCTAAAATGAAGGATCAAAGGAGACTCCCCTCACTCTTCCTCACTCTTGTCCTTTGCGTCTCTCCATGGTCCACCTCTGGAAAAACATTCTACAGCCACCATGGGATAAAATGCACCGGCGACTGTCATCCTCAGGGCTTATTGCAGACATACCAGTGCACAGTACACAAGACAGATGGCACAGAAGAACTACAGTACTGTTCACCAATGAGTGGGGTGGACTACAAGGGAAACGTGTGCTTTTATTGCTGTGAGCAGCACGACAATGGCTACTACCAGTGTGAAACAGCCTCGGGTTTGGGATACTGTGGAGATGTGATAGAGGACTTAAACCATTACACCTTAACATATGGTATGCCGTGTTATGATAGCTGTGAAACGCGCGGTAAGAACTACTACTGGTGCCATTCCACAAAGGGGTGGGATTACTGCTCACCAAGAAAAAACGTTGATTACAAAGGCAACGCCTGTCGCCAAGACCATCCCTGTGACACACATGGACGAGATTACCACTGGTGCTATTTGGACAAAGGAGGCTGGGACAAGTGTGGACGAGTGGAGCCAAAGGCAGTGATTCATGACACCATATCCCGAAAACGCTGCACTGATGACTGCCAGTATTCTCGCTACTTCTGGTGCCACATTCATGGTAGCTGGGACTACTGCTCACCTGCGCCAGACGTCACCTACAGAGATGTGCCTTGTCGCTCAGATCACAATTGTGGAGACCATGGCAAGGGATATAGCTGGTGCTACACAACAGACAACAATAACTGGGATTACTGTGGAGTCATCTCTCCTGGAGAGTGCAGGTATTCTGTGCCACACCGCACCAAACGGCAACCCAAGAAACCCAATCAAACTAACCCACCACAGCTGATCTGTACTCGGGAGGACAACAGCAGGAGGAGAGTGACCATGTTCGAAGCAGTAGAAAATCACCAAACCATCGCAGACTCTCATAATTACCGTGCCGAAGCATTCAATTTAATTAATGAATGGGACGGCCGGGGCCTGGGCCAACAGGCCAGGTCCAACTTGGTTACATCAAGAAACCTTCGCATTGACCTACAGGGTCTGTTTAACAGGAGTAATCAGCAGTATTACAACCTGCAGGTCCAGGTGAAGAGCCAACGTGTTAGTGGAAAAAGCACAACTCTGGCACACATTGAAGCCCCTGTTGACACTCCACTTGAGTACATGCGTTTGGCCCTCAGGGAGAGTTTACGGAACCGAGCCACGGTTTCACTGGAAGTGACTGACCAACCAATAAACAACGACAACAGCTGTCACAAACGTCATTAATATTATCACTGAAACATATGTAGCTAATGAATGAGACAGAAAACTCTATTAACTTTATTTCTTCATCAGTTGCTCAATCACTGAATTCCACATAATAACCAGACAACTGTCAGACGATAAGCCTGAGTTATTCTGAGGCTTTGTACCATCACATGAAGATAACAGTAGTCTTCCATTTTGATTTCATTTTTGTTGTAAATATAGTTTAATATCTATCAATTCATTGTGTTTCAGGCTTAAAAAGCAATTCTGTAGTGAAACAGTGTAAAATGACCAAATTAAAATTCTATATTTGTACTTTGTACGATGCATTTATTCAAACAATAATAAAGATAATGCCAAATAAACACATTTTTTAAAGACATTTCATTTCATTTTTACAGTTTGGCGAAAACAAATATTTTGTCAGGATAATATCACAAAGCCTGCGAGGACAAACTAATGATCATACTTTCTGTGGGTCATTGGTTTTAAAAAACAAAATATTTACAACAGCTGTTCACATTAAATCCATCTTGGTTTGAGGAATTTTTAATTAGTCTGTCGCTTCAGCTTAAACCTCTCTGAGACTTTCTCACGGATTTTCACCTCAGTAACTTTTCCTATTGTACATTTTATTATTTTTATTACATTTATATTTAAAGGCATTTTAAATGTGACAAACCCACAATCGACATGTGCAGCTGCTGGAGCCAGATATAACAAACCTTCTGAATTAGCTGCTGAATTACACAAACCCACAGAGTTTACTCTTTTCAACAGACTGCATTTTGTTCTGAATAACGTTGCAAATATTGATCATTTATGGAGGTATTTGTCGACCATCTTTACTTTTAGTTATGAACTGTTCACATCGGCCTTAAACGTGATTCACAGAAGTGAACAATTTCACAGCTTTTGTACACATTACGTTTGAGCAATTCAGAATCAGACCTCGTATAAACACTTTTGTTCTGTTGGTTTTTCAGTTAGAGCAATTATATCACATTGAATAACACTGAACACTATTCCTAACTGAACCACAGATTTTGATGTAAATTTTGTCTGAATTTTCTCAAAGCTCAGGAATAGTTACACACTGAAATTTATACAGAGGAGGAATAATTAAAGGTCAAAAGAGTTAAAGTTACCTTTATTGTCAAACCTGTTATGTGTTCAGAACATATAGAATATCAAAATGACATTTATCTTTGACCCCCAGAGTTCAGACATAAATAAGGAAACGAATGAATAAAAAGCAAGAGGATTAAAGGAGAAAAGAAAGGCACAAAGTATAAAACTATAGAAAAACTGCATATACATAAATAATTTATAATGCTCAATGTTTAATTCTGTGGTTTGTTATCAAAAAGTTTTTTGAGCCCCTGAACTAAATGATGCACCACCTGCTTGCAGAACAACAGAGGGCGCTGTTGTTCTGCAAGGAGGACAAGCTGGGACTGGCAGGTCAGGGAGGGGCGGGGCCACAGGCACACAGAGAGAGAGACACCTGTTTGTGTGATTTGGACTCACCCCTTCAGGAACAGAAGAGAAGAAAACACAAAGAGCAGGATGGTTGGATCTGACTTCTACTGCAGGTAAAACACTGTTACAGAGCCGCTCTCTGGAAAAGTTGGAAAATCACAAAATAAAGTAACAAATGAGGATAAAACAGCTTCAGAAAGATCCTGTAAAAGTTATAAACTTTTAAATGAACATTGTGTCTTTCCTAAAATGTAACTTCCTCCAGTTGTTTGATTTATGTCAGATGACACTGAGGTTTAGTAGAGACATTAGAGTTTTCTGTTTTCTTCTACTGGTAGAAATGACATTATAGAATAGAACAGAACTTTTTGTCATTGTTTCCAAAACAGTGAAACACCATTTAACAGCTTCTTGAGTGATGGTGCAGATAAAAAGATACAATTGCCTAAAAATTTAGATAGAATAGATAATTGAGATCAAATAAACACAAACACAACACAATGAGATCACACGATAACAATATGAAGTGAAAAATGAGTGTCAGAGGGATCTTTAGCTCCATTTTATTTCTATTTTAGTTATCAAAAAAACTGAAGAAAGAAAATTAAATGTTGAAGAAAAAGAAATAATAAAATGTAGTGTAAAATTAAAATAAGATTTGACCTGACATATGGTCATAAATGTACCATAAAGTTCATAATACATACATATACTTATATTATATACATACATTTCAAAGTAAAGCAAAATGTATAATATATTGAGGCAAACTGGATTACATTGGTTTTATATTTTACATAAAATACTGACAACCAATGAAAACACATTTTATTTTTATTCATTCATTTATTATTAGACATTTTATGAGAATTGATCTGTTTTATTTTTTTTTCTCTGTCAGTTTTCAAAGCATGATCATGTTTCTTATTTTTCTCAGAAGACGTGGTTAAATATTTTCAGATCTTGGTGATGTGTTTTCATTGACCAGATCACATTTTTGTTTTCCTTTACCTCTTTATGAGAAAAGTAATATCATCATTTAAACTTTTAAAAATTACAAAACAAAATGAAACTGTCAGATGATGTTTTACATCACAGAGCTGTGATTTATATCATACAGAAAATGTTCATATATAATGTATTATTCAATGTAAATGTTTAAATGTGAGGAGAAATCAGTGACATATTCATAGATCGAATTGTACAAAGCTAAACTACATTGTCTGTTGTCTCTCTGCATAGTTTTTTCTTTGGAGAGTTTCCAGAGGTGAGTCCTTCAGGACTCATCAGAGGTCATTGAGGAGGTTCCAGGCAGTCCTGTAGTGCTGTAGTTTATATATAAGGTTTAACTGGTTTACCTGGACTCTGTCTTTAATAGACAGCTGACAGCCAATCAGAGAACAGGATTCTCTGTTGTAATGGTTAGTTTAGTTTGGGAGTCCTGGAGAAAATAGGAAAGGTCCTTGAGGAGGAGGTAGAGACTCTTTTGGGGGTAGCAGAGGTCTTAAAGGTGGTCATGGAGGTCCTTGATTAGGTTGTTGATCTCTATGGGGAGGCTGTGAGAGGTTCAGGAGAACATGCATGGCCTTGATCTGGTTTAAGAAGTCCTTGAAGAGGTTCTAGTGGTCCTTGAGCAGGCAGCAGAGATCTGCTGGAGTTGACGATAACCCAGTGTGACTTTTTCCCTGCAATAATGGTGTAAAGCAAAAACAACACCCCACAGTTTGTACAGTGTAGCGATGACACCATCTGCTGGTTGGAAAGATTATCACAGAAAATGCTGGAGGCTCTTCTGACATGTTATTTAATGTCATTTGATTTCAGCAGAGAGCACGGGACCACTAGAAATGTAAGTAGCTGAAAATGCTGAACCTATAAGAAGGTGTTGTTTGCGTTTTATTCACCATCTCTTAACAAACTAAGTCCTATGAGAAATACTGTAAAATAAACATGCTTTCCTGATTCATATATACATTTGATTTTATTCTACAAATTTCACCAAGCATTGTCGCTTAACTCTCTTTTTATACTTTTAACAGGCAGAGTTTAGTTCACATATGAAAGGTAAGATAAACATCACAGCCTCTTGTGATAAAGTGTTACCAATAATTGTTTACAACTGTATTAACACATAAAGGGTTTTTATTTTTAGGTCCACTCAGTTCTGAAAGTCTTACACCTGGCAGTTACAGGCATTCACTGGATTTGGAGTCTCACTTAGAAAGAAGGTCTGACTTTATATTTTCAGGCTTCTCAAGATGCTTTTTTAAATGTCTTATTTACATGCATCTTTTCTGTCTTTTATTTAGGACCCATCAAAGTCTAGGTAAGTATCTTTGGGCTCGTCATCATCAGTCATTATACAGTTACTGACTTAATAAGTCCCCCCGACATCTACTTAAAGAAAGGGTCCCATCAAAACGCCATCACCATGAATGGCCTCAGACGAAAGACGACTTTGACCAGCACGACTTTGTCCCAATGGAAAAGCCTCAACTGGTACATGTGCTGCTACAGTCATGTGAAAAAGGGACGCTCCACCAACTGCTCTTAGAACTGCAGAAGCTTCTTGGATGAGAGGAGAAACATCTTCAAGGAAACTTAAAGAAGTCCAGACGCTTTTCTTTGCAAGCTTAAAATTTTCATAGAACTCTAAAAAAGACATTTGAAAGGTTATTGTCATGGTCCTGAGTCTGAGGACTCAGTGTTTTGTGTTTCCTTATGCTTTTGTTCATTCCGAGTGTGTATTCTGTTGTGATTTTGCCATTTGTTAGGTTTCTGTTCTTTGCCTGCCTGCTCCCACTTCTCTGTTCCCTCTGTCTGTCCATGGTGTTATTGTGTCTACTTATGAGTCCGCCTGTCAAGTTCAGTGTCCTGTCTGGTTCTCTGTCAGTTTCCTGTTTTATTGTGAAGGTCTCTGTCTGACGTGAGTGTGTTCAGGTCACGTTTCCCCTGTCCCGTCAGCTCTGATTCCTCCCAGCCGTGTTGCCCTCCTGTCTCTCATCCCCTGATTATTGGTGTGTGTATTTAAGCCCTGTGAGTTCTCCTGCCTGTTGCTGGTTCGTCTGTGTCCCACGGTGTCCTGTTCTGAATCTGAGATATACAGAAATGTGAACTATGCAAGTTATAAACAGTTGTAGGATTAAAAATTATAGGATGTACAGAATGATTATTTACTATTATTATTATTTATACTTCTCTGACATGCCTTCCACATGTGATGTTTGTGTAAGGGTAAGACGGCGCTGGCATAAGGCCCACAGCCTTAACCCAATTTCCTTCAGGGTTTTTTAAAAAGAGACTTTTTCATTTGATTCAGTTTGATATGATGGATTATGGAGAAAAATAGAATTGGGCTGAAAGGTCTGTTCTTTATTACGTATTCAGGTCGTGTATCATGTTTTTAAAAAGTAACTAAGTAACTAATTACTTTTGAAAATTAAGTAAAGTAATGGGATTACTTTCTTAGAGAAGTGATCAGTAATTAGTAACTAATTACTATTTTCAAGTAACTTGACCAACACTGCTCATCACATGACCCAAGGTGTGAAAAGGGTGTGTCGTCATCAGCAGGTGACACCACTCAAAGACCCTGCCCCCTATCATGTGACCTACTGAGATCAACTGACCCAAGGTGTGAGTGGGCGTTAAGACGACCAGATTACAGATGGCCGACAGTTGGTGTGGTAAGCCCCGCCCTCTGTTCAAAGATGGTCGTTCACAGTGGACATAGATGCTTCTTTCACTCCTCTTTCAAACCGTCTGTCTTCTCTGTCCAACATGTGAACACTGGCATCCTCAAAGAGTGACCTTTGACCTTTAGATGCAGGTGAACAGCCAGCTGCGTCTGAATTGATTTCATGAGTCTTTTACTTACTCCCAAAGTATTAAATACTTTGACACCCAGTTAAAGTAAATCCGCTTGGCATCTTTCTTGGCCTTCAGACAACAATTCTGACGACTAAAGATCCAAATGGGACAGGAAAAAAATAAAAAAATAAAAAAAATAAAAAATTATTTAAAAAAGCATCTTAAGCACTTTGGCAAAATTCACTTTCATGTATCATCTGTTTCATAATGTCTAATAAGCATCATACAGTTAAGCATAATCACTACATGACAGAAGCACAAGCTTCATCTCTTTTAATAAACACAGTACACATAAAATCAGTGAGATGTTAGAACACTTTTATTATTATTTTAGTAAACAATCAAAGCCTACAACAGACAGCTGCTGGGGTTTGGAGGAGAACTGAACAAATATTTCAAATAAAATCTGATCATTTTTGGAGCAGCTTTCAGGATCTCCACGTATTAACATGCTGTTTTTAATGGATAGCATTAACAACCTGCGAAGGAAATTGCCTTCCCGGGTTTCCTCCGTGGCGTGAGCGATAAGCAGAGTTCTGTCCTTTCCTTATAAGATTCCTAATTATTTAAAGTAACACTCAGGTATGCCATTCAGCTGGGTTAGTTACGACGTCGGGAGCAGCTTGGGAGAACAAGGAAACACAGACTGCTTCAGGTTGTCTTCCCAAATCGACTCAAAGGTTTATTTGATACACAGCAGTTTATATAGATGAAAAAAGGTTCGTGTGTCAGCTTTCCCAGTTCAAACCGGTACAGACCAAATAAGGAAACGTCTTCCTGCCTTCTGAGCAAAGTATCCCTTGTGTAGTTTATCAGTTCAGCTATAATTTATGATCATCCCAGCAAAATACACTCCTAGACATAGAATACAGAGTTCTTTCATCAGTGAATTCTGAAACAAACCACCTAGCCTTTAACGAGCCTTTTCCAGGAGATAAAGAAAAAGGGAGGATGGGAGTAAAGAAGTGGTCTCATCTCTGTGGTGTTTTCGACCTTCAGGTACCAGCTTGTGAGTCCTACACATTAATTCTTGGGTCACAGAGAAAGAGAAAAACAACTAGTAGATCGGCCTTATTGAGTAACAGTTTTCCTGTATAAAACAATATCCTGTAAATGCTTACCGTGGTATCAAAATATCTAACAGTTCCCCTCTTTTATTATTTTTTAAAAATAATAACTCAAATAGAAAGGAAAAATCACAAATGTAATAACATAATATAAAAAGCAAATCATAAAATGTAATAGTTCACAACCTAATGTTCAATATACACATCAGGAACATCATTGATGACATCTGACACATAATCTGGGTCAATTTGTGCCAATTGCAAATACATTGAAGTGGCTGTACTAGTGGCTATACGGGTTATCATTGAACGTACACAGGGTACCACACAACAGACAATAATCATCAAAAACATGCTGCAACGGTTACAAAGGCTACAATTAGTTCCTTCCATCTTCCAAACGTGTCCTGTAGCCACTTATGTAGCCACTGACCGTGACCTGCATTGGCAATTAGTTCTATCTGCAATGCTTCAAGTTTATTCATAGCTTGTGTGAATGAACCGTTAGGAGCGGTATTATTGGGAATGAACGTACAGCATACATCAACGGTTACTAAACCACAGGTACCGGTCCAATCAACAGGTAAAGCTAATCTAAGAGTATTATTGCACAACCAATAAGCACGTGGGATTGGTCTAGTTAGGCGCGTGACCATGTGTGATTTAACTAACTCCCCCCAGTCAGTGTCATTTAATACACCGTCTGGGGAACAATGATCGATTCTCTGCTCGAACTTGAACTGTGTGTGTGTTCCTCCAGATATGATACAACTTCAGCCATAGAGACAGCTAGCCATGTCTCATTACAGCGTGCACCTGGGGAGTCAGAGAAGAATGTATAGTTATCCTCTGTATAATCTATGTGTGTGTCTGGGCCAGTTAACTTTAGTCTGCGCAGACATATCATACTAGTATTAAAATGGAGAGGGATCTGTCCTAAGGGCAGTGAGGGCTTTAACCTATTCTTAGGGCGTTTCATTGGGGCGCAGGTCCCTGCGGTGTCATTAGATAACTTCAATAATTCGCCTAATGGAGTCTCAGGGTTAGTTGGTGTGTGTGTGTGTCTAAGTAGGCAGTCGAGAGGGCTCAGAGTCAACTGTAAAGTGTCTTTAAAGAGAGCATTATCTCCACCGATTTTCTCTAGTCCCTCAGTGAGGGGGAAACCGGATGTGGGGTATCCTACTATTACCTGTTCTGGATTAGCCTTTGAACAGACATAACAGTTACTGTTTCCTAAATCACGAGCGGCTGTTCTGGCATTTTCATACCAGGCGTTAGCTCCTGTTCTAGAGGGTGCATAAAATGGTTTATTAGTGGCGTCTATGTTGCTATTTACTGATTTTAGGGAACGTGAGGAGTGCATTAAGTAGGTGTCTTGCAAAATGGAGCATGAGGTATAGTCAGCAAAATATGACCTGCAGAAATGTGAACATGGTTGCAGTTTACAATACAAAATAGCAAAGAGAAATCCTAAGGTTACTGCGATAGATATGATAAATAACCTAAATATATAAGAAAGACAGTTCTTCACTCGTCTCCTGGCCTGGTCCCAGGTTCGAGAGACACAGAATAAGCGTCGTATGATGACAATGGGCATTTCATTTTCTCCATTATCAGGATGAAATGAGTCTGGCTTTATCAGGTTAGACATCATGTGGTACTTTTGGCTGTCTGTTCCTGCTGGATGTTTGAGTACCTTGTTGTTGTTCTTTCAGACGTTGTGTGTTAATCAGTGATTGTGTGTGTGTATGTTGGATCCGGGCGCTGGCTCGCCTGAGATGTCATCTACCCGTGTGTTTATTTGCTCTGGATCCGGGCGCTGGCTCGCCGGAGATGTCGTCTGCTTGATCCGACGCCTGAGATGGTCCGATTGGGCTGGTCTTAACCCTGCTGGCATCAATCCACTGAGGTTGTCCGTCCGTAAGGATGCTGGTTCTCGTCACTGCCAGTAAAGCCTGGGGGCTGGAAAACGCGGCCTCCCGAGTGTTCTTGGTTTTAGTGGCTTCTCCAACATGCGTCTCCTTGTCTCCACTGGTGGAACTGTGGAGGGGAAAAGCTGAGAGAGACAAACTTTCTGATAGTTATTATTCAGTTTTTCTACCAGGTTGTGAACATCAGTGGACAATGCAATATACATCACCTTCTACTAGCGGTGCCCCTCTGGAAGCTGACCATGGTCTTGGAAATAGTCTTATTTCAAATGGAAATAATTTGGTTACTTCAGATTGAGTCATTCTAATCTCACACAGGACTTGAGTAAGTAATTTGACCCAGGTCATTAAAGTTTTAGCACATTTTTTAATACTTCTAATGTGAATGAAGGTCCTCTATCACTGTTAATCTGGTGAGGTATTCCGAATCTGGGTATTATTTCATTGCTCAACTTTTGACAGACTACTTCTGCAGTTTCTTTTGATGTTGGATAAGCTTCTACTCATTTACTAAATTGATCCACTATTACCAGTAAGTACTTGATACTTCCTTGTGCTGGCATATGTGTGAAATCAATTTGTAAT